TTAATACTTCACGGGACTTTGATTCTATGCCACTGTTTATACAACCAAGGATTGCATTAACTTTTTAGCTGCTGCCACACATTGCTGGCTCACGTTTAAGTGATTGTCCACTGGGGCTCCAAAGTGTCCCTCTCAGTTACTGTTTTTGAGCCAGGTTTCACCTAATCTGTACTTGTACCTTTGGTTTTTCCTGTCCAGGTGTAAAACTTTGCTTTTCTCCACATTAAATTTCATTTTGTTGGATAGAGTCAACAAAATGATAGACCATGATTCAACTCTATCAAGATCTTTTTGGATCCTTAATAAAATAAAGTGGAATGTTTTCTTTCCATGCTTTGAAAGTCACCCTTCTATTATACAACTTAAAGCTGCATTTGCATATTTTGTAGCTTTTGATATTTAATATTTTAATCCTTCATTTGCAATCAACCATTATGGTAAAATCCATTCCATAAATTCAATTGCCAAGACTTAATCCTAACTAAAAGGGATGAAATGATTGAGGGAATAGAAGTTGTAGGAACTTTGGGGGAGACTGACCATATCATGCTAGAATTCACCATAATGCAGGCAAATGTGACTCAATAAAGTGAGACCATTATTTTAGACTTTAAGAGAGATGAGTTCAACAAACTATTAGAGAGACTAGGAAGGTTTCTGTGGGTGGAATTCCTAGAAGGAAGAACAGTTCAGATTACATGGGCAGCTCTGATAAATGAATCACTAAAGGTCCAAACAAGAAAAACAAAAGACACAGCAAGGTTGCACAAATAATTCTCTGACAAACTGAGGGACAAAACGGACAAGTTTAAAAAAAAATGGAAATGGGGCATATAACTAAAACAATACAAGCAAATAGCCCAAATCTGCACGACTGGAGTCAGGAAGACTAAAACTCAGAATGAATTCAGACTTGCAACAAAATATATATTTAAAAAGTTTCTTTCAATATATAAAGAACAAGAAAAAAGCCAAAGAAATGATTGGTTCACTAAAGGGAAAAGACGGAAAGATGATGACGGGTAGCAAGGAGAAAGCGGAGCTGACTAATTTCTTCTTTGCTTCTGTTTTCACGCAAAAGGGGGGGGAAAAACAGCCCAATTCATCACAAGCAGCACAGTGGGTGACAGAACAGAAATACAGATCAAAATAGGTAAGAAATTGGTTAAACCCCAGTCATTCTAGAGGAGTTCCAGTCATCAGGACCAAATTGTTTATATCCCAACGTTCTGAACAAAATCTTTCAGACTCCTGGAGCACCGCCAGAGGACTGGGAAAAAGCTGATATAATACCAATCTTCTAGAAGGGGAAAAAAAGTGGATCCAGGAAATTACAGACTAATCAGCTTGACATCAATATCTGGGGAAATTCTAGGAAAAAAAGCCAAGCAGTTCAGTTTATTATTAAATTTTATTATTAAACCAAGCAGCAGATTTCTGAGCACCTAGAAATGGACAAACCCTCTATTAACATTCTAAAACCAACAACAATAGTAGTAACAGTCCTAGAATAAGATCTAATTTCCTTATGAACAGCTGAATTTTGAATTTTTTTCCTAAAGGTCCGGCATAATGGAACCACCTGGAATTTGGAAGGAAGGTTGAGAACCATCATGAACCTGCTTTCTTCCTCAGGTGGAGAAAGTACCTTTGTCAGTCCTACCTCAAGTTCTCACCTGGATTTGTAGGTGATGAGTCTCCTATGGTGGATTCTGAAGCAACTAGTATTTTCATAGACGTTGCAATTGCTGATGGTCATATTATCCTTTCGTATTCTGGCAAATCTGTCATGGTCAAAAAAACCATCAGGTGGAGACGTTTCATTTCAGGACCAATAAATAGTTTGGTTACTATTCCCTTCTCTGTAGGGAATAATAGCTACCATTTCTCAGGTTTGTCTGCCATCAAACTGAGGGTCTCAGGAATCATTTGATATGATCCAAATTCTTTGAACATAGGTTTTATAAACCAATTTAAGAATCACAGACCAATTAAAAAAAAACCCCTATGCCAATGTATTTATTTTGGTTCCCTTCTAACAATGTTGTTAAATACTAGGTTTTGTTAAATGTAATTAACATTTTCTAATATTCGGCTGCTGATATATTTCTACTATTCATCATCAAAATTTTGGCAGCTGTTAATAGATTTGAGGATAGAACTAGAATTATGCAAAGAAAATCTAGAGTCCGTTTTTTATTTTGGATGCTTACTCTCCTGTACTTTGTTTTTTAGTGGTGATGTAATTCAAGCATCTGAATAAAACAATGAAAGAAAAGAAAGGGCTGCAGAAAATGTCACCAATATATGCACATTTACAGATAATACTAAATATTGAAGATAAAGCTACTAAAACCTGTTCATTATTGGATTGAGAACCAAACACTATTTTTTATACACTGCACGAGGAGTGCTTTGTATAGGGTGATTCCTGACATGCAGTAACCTCCAGTCATATTAATATAAGTGTCAGGGGTGCCTTATCATTCCTTTCCCTTTTTCAGTCATTGCTTTAAAAAGGCTCTTATACTGGGGGGAAAAAGCAATGGAATTTATTATCGCTTTTTCTAATTGAAATTAGTAGGTCCACAGCAATTTCAAATGAATATTAAAACATAATTAACCCACATAGGATTATTAGCCTTGCTGAGGCTGAGACGATACTTAGGGAAGCCTGCCAAAATTCTGTGATGGGCTGCATCAACAGACTGATAGCATCAAGAACACGAGAAGTGCTAATACCGCTTAATATTGAACAATGAGGCCACACTTGGAATTCTGCATGCAGTTATGGTCAGAGAAGAGGTGCTGAAACTCTAGAAAAAAATTCAGAGAAGAGCAACTAAGAAGATAAAAGGCCTGCAGGGTAAATCACACGAGGAACATTTAAGGGAATTAAATATGTCTCGCCTAAGAAAGAAAAGGATTGGGATGACATGATAGCTGTTTCCCAGTACTTCAGGAGACTGTCACAGGGAAGAGGGGAAGGATTTGTTCTCCAAAGTACTAGAGAGCAGGACAAGAAGCAGTGGATAGAAGAAGCTCCTTAAAGAGAGATCTAACCTGGAACTAAGGGGAAACTTTCTGAGAATAATCAATCAGTGGAACAACTGGCCTCCCTGAGTTATGGATGCAGAATCCCTGGAGGTTTTCAAGAAAAGATTGGACAGACATTTGTCCAGGATGATATAAGGCCACCAGAGTTGGGCAACATCTCCAAGGTCCCTTCCTTCCCTATAATTCTATGATTCCTCAAACATATCTATGATAAATGGCAATAATAATATTGATTATAGTATGTATTTTCCTAGATACAGCACAATAGAAAAGAAAGAACTGGAGAAAATCACAAAATACAAGACCTGCAAATAGAAGTAGAATGACTGTTACAAAAGAAAGCAAAGATAGTGCCAATAATTAGAGCCGTGGTGGCGCAGTGGTTAGAGTGCAGTATTGCAGGCTACTTCTGCTGACTGCTGGTTGCCAGAGGTTTGGCAGCTGGAATCTTACCAGGCTCAAGGATGACTCAGCCTTCCATCCTTCCGAGGTCGGTNTCATGAGTATTGTTTATTTATGAAGTTAGTCTAAAAAGCTGCATGATAAGAAATTATCATTATCCTACAATATATATACAAAAAAGTAATCTGTGATTTAAAAAAACATTTTCCTGAAATAAATGAGGCAGATGGTGTTTCTAAAATGTCTCCTGAATTTTTCTTTCTAGGCTCAACGGCCAGGCCAGATCACTAAACAATCTTTGTCTGAAACACCTGAAATTGTAGATGACTTTCTTTGTAATTTTTTAATCAGAATGGGAATGAACAGGACATTGGACTGCTTTCAGACTGAATGGTAAATCTTTCTTCATTAAATAGGCGATCTTGTATTTCAAATTACTGTTCTTTTTTGAAATTTGGAATGTTGCTTTTTGTTGCTATGATTTCATATTGGGGATTTTTTTCTGCTTCTGAGTTTTAAGTAAGCCATTAATTAGAATATCAATATTTTAAAATGTCAAGTCAATAAAAAATCTTTTTAAAGGTCAAGCCGTCATTCCCACTGCTTAAAATTTAGTTCTATTCTTCCATATTCTAAGATGCATGGTTAATCTGGACTGTAAAGCCTAAAACAATGTTAAGATAACCCTGTCCATTCAATGCAAGATTGAAAACTGGAACTAATAAAAGTGCTGCTTAGTCTGAAGATTCTCTAAATTGCAGCACCAATCTAATCAGTTTTAGCAGCAAAAACGGCCAGCTGTAATTGAGGGGATGTGAGACGTATGAACACTGTGCCTGTACACTGTGCCCACCAAAGGGGAAGAAGAGTGGATAGATGTTAGAAGTTGGGAGATTCAAAAGAGTTTGATGTTAGCAAAGAAAGGATAGCAAAAAGAGGATTGGGAGGATTAAGAACAAAATGCGAGTAACTATAATGTTTGAAGACTTCAGAGAACTCTGTGGGGGGAAGTTGCATTTTCCTCCCTTGGAAAAGGGTAAATTGGCATTTGGTGGGTCCAGGACTTTCTATATAGGGAGGAAGAAAAAAGTGGCAGATAAACTTAGTCTGAGTTGTTTCTGAACTTGGGCTCTAGAGAGCAGGTGGAATTTCTGGTGCTCTGTTTGCTTTCTGCTTCAGGGCTGCTTCCCTGACTGAATTGCTTGAAGCTCTGGCTGACAATTTGGTCACCTCTTCATTAGATCGATAGTCTTCTCTTGTTCTACCTCCAGGGAAGTGNTTTCTAGTATTAGTAGTCAAATATTTATACAAAATGAATACATTGCCCTAAAATAGCACTCAATACGCAAATCAGGTATAATATTAAATCATGTTGTAACCAATACAATTTCATATTGTAGACTTAACTAAACATGCAGAGGTTACAATAACTGAAAGTTCTGAAGATGACTATCAATATGAAGAGGTAAGAACCTAAAACAGCACTTTATGTTCCAATCCATTCTCTGATCTTGGTAAAATAATAGTAAATAGGCCTCCCTCTCTATATAAAATTAGTATTATTAGTATTAACAATTTAGTAATCTTCAACCTTATAAGCTGGAGGACAACAAATGGAAAAACATCAGCCGGTATAATGTTATTAAAATGTCATTATTACCAATACTTTTGTTTTATTTTTTAATAACATATAATAGTAAATTATTGAGAAATTTTAATTTGTTGCAAAAGATTATTAATTTGCTTATATGTGAAGATAAGCTAATGAGAATTCAAGGATGCTAAATGCAAGCTGGAAAATTTTTCAATTCACCACCTTGAATCCTATTACCAAACCACATGAATCAAATTTTAGTATCACTATCTAAATTAGAAATATTTAACTCTGAAACTGGAGCAGTTTAATATGAATGGAAAGGAAAATAGACCTTTTCGCTAATGGAAAAACAAATTGTGGAATAAAATTAGAAAAAGCATGAACCATGAGGTCTTCCTGTTAGAATAGTAATTAGGCATGAGAATTTTGATTAGATGCATCATATTTCATAACCCAGGACCAATATAAAATGGACAGGATTGTTTCTTTTTATAGAATTCCATTTTCCCCCACAGCAATTTGGCCTTCATAATGAAAGTCAAGCAATCACCTTGGTTTCAGGGTCTACAAATTAAAGACTTCCAAAGTTGGAATAAATAAGAATTTTTCAGTGTTTGCTCAACAGAAAGCTATTATTCATGTGCCAATAATAAAAATTAAATTATATGACAAGAAAGACATGCTCAAGGGTAAATCTAATTTTATCAAATTCATGGGAAAACATAGAAGGAAGAAATTCTCAATCTGTTAAAAATCAGTAAAAATGCACTCAATGAAGAAAATAATGATGTAAGCCAGAAAAACATAATCCGTTGTGGTATTTCACTTTAGCATGTTTGAATCATATTTTTCAATTGCAAAATTCAGATGCTGAGAATATCAAGCTTGCAGAGCTATTCATATACAAACAATTGCTGGGTAGCTACTATGAATTTAGTTTCTCATATAGCATGGAAAAATCCAATTTCAACCTGTATGATAATTAGTTTTAAAAGATTCTAAAAGAACTCAAAACTTTCTCAAAATTATGTTGATCATGATTTTTTAGAAAAGTCAAGGTTGACAGGTCAAAAGGTCAATTCATGTGTTTTGAGTTTTGAATCAAAAAGGCTCCCTTCAGAGTGCTTAATTAGAATATTCTAAATTGGCTATGTTTCATACAAAACTGGAAAACTCAAGTGGTCCTTTTTCCTATACGGAATAGTGTTTTTCATGTTCAAATTCAAGTTTTGTTTTAAATGGCTTGTGATGGGGAACAATAGGAACTGAAAACATTGGGGATTCCTGCTCTCTTATTTTCATCCTTAGGCCATACACAGTGGGAAGGTATGGCATAGTCATTATTGCTTGCCATGCAAAGTGCAGACAGCTTGGTCAGGATTTTTCCNAGAAAAGAAAGAACTGGAGAAAATCACAAAATACAAGACCTGCAAATAGAAGTAGAATGACTGTTACAAAAGAAAGCAAAGATAGTGCCAATAATTAGAGCCGTGGTGGCGCAGTGGTTAGAGTGCAGTATTGCAGGCTACTTCTGCTGACTGCTGGTTGCCAGAGGTTTGGCAGCTGGAATCTTACCAGGCTCAAGGATGACTCAGCCTTCCATCCTTCCGAGGTCGGTCAAACGAGGACCCAGATTGTTGGGGGCAAGAGGCTGACTCTGTAAACCGCTTAGAGAGGGCTGTGAAGCGGTATATAAGTACTATTGCTAATTATAGGCAGTAGATAAAATGCCAAAACCCAGTCAAAACATCTGACTGACTGTGCAACCAAAGATAATAATCCCCTCTGTGGGTTATAGATGAGGGGCTTGTGATGCTCTGATGAGGTTGAGATCTACGCTGACAGAAGGGTCATCCATGCCCAACACATTTTAGTGGAAAAGCTTAGTAAGTGGAAGAGTAAGTGTATCCTTATGTGGTGAGAAAGAAGAAAAAGAATCCTATACTGGATTGGTTACCATCAGGACCACATCAGATGTTAGAGTTCCTGGACATCTGTCAACAAGAGGACAACAGGACTTGGAAGCTATGACTGGGCAATCTTAACCCTAACTCTAACCAGAGAGTAGCCCTCTTAAGGTTAGGGGAAGAACAACAACTACAGACAAGAGACAAATATACTGTGTTTTAAAATCATGCCATTATGGACGGCTACTGTAAATGAAGACCAACAAAGCAAAGATACTTTAAGCAAATATTTGAAGAGTAGAGAAAAGTATGGCACATACAGTATTACTAGTAGAAAGATTGGCAGCATGGAAAGTATTGTTCCCAAAACCCGCCATCTAAAATGAAGGATGTGAATAAGGTGCTTGGAAGGATGAAAGTAATATTTATCAAAGAGACTAATCAGCCTCTTACACTACAGTAGTGGTGGTTACAGAAAAACGGGGTATCAAAATTTGAAAATTTAAAGTACAACCATATTCAGTCCCAACTTGGAAGATCAGACTGGAGGCCAAGATAAAGAAATCAAGATCAGATGCAAGTAATTTAAAGAACACGAAAGAGTAAAAATTGAAGAAAGTAAGGATCAAGACAAGCTGAAAGAGAGAATATTGGCTTAGCACTAGAAAAATTGAAGAACCTCGGAAATCATAAAGCAACAAGTAACAGCAATACCAAAGAAAATTGAATGCTATGAGGCAGAAATCATCCAATTCAAGCAAAGCCAGCTGTTTCAATCAGACTAGAGGCAATTCTACCAAAGTACATATGGTAATCAGAAGTGGGTTGCTCCCGGTACGCACCAGTACGGGTGTACAGGTAGCGGAAATTGGCCTATTGAAATGCTAACTGAAGCAACTGCAGAGTGGTGACCATATTGTAAGCAAGGATATTTTTAAAATTTCTCATAACAATTTATGAAGTGCTATCAAGTCGAGAGGGATGTTGGAGTCCTAGTAGACAATCACTTAAATACACCAGTGTGCTGCAGCTGCCAAAAAGCTAGGCTGAATTAACAGATGGATAGAATCACCATCCCTTGAAGTGTTAGTACCACTTATAATGCCTTGGTAAGTCCTCGCTTGCAATATTGCATCCAGTTTTCATTGCCACAAGATAAAAAGATAGAGACTCTAGAAAGACTGCAAAGAAGAGCAACAAGGATGATTAGGGGACTGGAGGCGAAAAGATATGAAGAACGGTATGTCTAGTTTAATGAAAAGAAGGTCTTCTAGGTGACATGAAAGCAGTCTTCCAATATCTCAGGAGCTTCCACAAAGAAGAGAGGTTCAACCTATTCTCCAAGGCACCTGAGGGGAGGATAAGAAGCAATGGTTGGAAACTAATCAAGGAGAGAACTAACCTAGAACTAAGGAGAAATTTCCTGACAGTGAGGATGATAAGCTTGCCTTCAGAAGTTGTGGGTTCTCCATCACTGGAGACCGGACAGCTATTTGTCTGAGATTGTATAGGCTCTCCTGCTTGATCAGGGGGTTAGACTAGAAGACCTCCATTTGCTCTTAGCAAGCAGACAAATAGATTTTCTCCCAAACTATCTCCACCCTAGCCTGGCCCCACAAACCTTCCAAGAAGGCAACCAATGGCTGCTGTAATTGAGTCCCTCCACCTCCTCTTCGCTTTCCTTTTATGAAATATGCAAACATGGTTTTAATTTTACATGTTCTTCATACATGGATGTTGTTTTTGTACTGGTATTTTATTTAAATTCACCCATTTTTGCATTTTATGAGGGTGAGAATGAGGCCAATAGGAAAACTACAGGAAAATATGATTTTTCCCCTGATTTTTTTCCCTGAATGTCTTCATTCATTCATTTTGCTGATACTAATTTGGAAATGTTTCACAAGCAAAATGAAAAGGTAAGAAAGGCAGCAGTTTTTTGAGATTTTAGGGGGAAAATAAGGGACAGAACTTGTAACAATGCAATTGTTTTGAATTAATTTATGTCTATTGCCATCTAGTGGCCAAAGGCGTTAACATTCTTTTAAAAAGTTTTTATTTGTATATTTTATATATTTTTACATATAGACAAACAAGACACGTAACATAAAAACATCTTCCATTACACACAGTGTGTCGATTGGTTACAAGGTTTTTGTGCATCCTTTCCATAATCATCCCTTAAACTTCATATAAAGTCACATATTGTCAATCAAGTGTATTTGTATACATTATTATTATTATAGTACTTGATTTGTTTAAGCATCACTATTATTTCTTCATTTCAAGAACTTCATTATTTCTTCAACTTACCAAAACCAGAAATGTATATAACAGGTTAAGAATGCAAATTAAAATACGCAAACATAAGGTAAGAGAACACCTCTCAGTTCTAGATGTATTCAACTCGTCACATTCATCTACTTTAGTGTAATGAAGCAAGTTGTCCCCATTCCAGTTTTGGATGGATGGAGTCGATGAGATTATGGAAAAGAGAAAGATGAGAATGGATTTGGCATATTGCTTCATGTTCCTTTTCTGTGCCCTGCATAATGCTGGTTATTCTCAAAAGGAACAAAACGGTGGGTATTTTTATACAGCATAAAGTGAAGTCATTTGCAACTATTGTTTAAACATGAGGTTGATTTGGGGAGGTTTTCAAATAGGCTGGGCAACCATGGGATTGGGTCAGCATAAGACTCCTGCCTTGAGAAGGGAGTTGGACTATGATTCTATGAAGAATTGTAGATACTGTAACTAAAAAAGCTCATCAAATAAATTAATTCAGTGCTTGGATGCTACTACAAAAAGGTTTTCTTACACATCATCAAGTCTACTTTGGCATTATGCAAAATAGACAATATGGCTCTCCAGATTATTATTTTATGTACGGAACAAATCTTTCACAGTTGTAAAAGTTATTAGCAGTATTTCGAATTGCCCCGCGCTCATTCAGTTGTCTTGGCCGTCATATGGAAGAGGATTTGGTTACTTTATTCAGGGAATGTGGGTGTTTTTTTTTAATCCTCCATATGCTGTAACTAAATCATCATTTATGGAGCTGGCACAAGGAAAAACAAACATCTGAATGAACTGCTTGCAAAAATATGAAGATAAACCAAATGAGAGCAAAGATTGCATTCTAGCATCTGGATATTTTGATTTATTGATTTTAGAAAGAAGATTTTCTAATTTTAAAAATAATCATTTTTATTTTATATTGCTTATGATGTAACAATATCGCAACCTTCCATTGCAAAGGAAAATGAATCAACATTTCTCCTATTAAGGGGGGGAAAAACCCCTAATGCAGTGTTTCTCAACCTTGGCGACTTTTAAGTCCTGCGGACTTCAACTCCCAGAATCCCCCAGCCAGCAGAGCTGGCTGGGGGAATTCTGGGAGTTGAAGTCCACAGGACTTAAAAGTCGCCAAGGTTGAGAAGCACTGCCCTAATGGATCGCGGGTGAAGACTGACGTATTGTATCCGGATGAGCATTAAAAACCTATTTGCTTCTCTATGGGAGGGGACTTCGGGCAGAGGAGCAGCGGAGAAGGGCTCGGGAGCCGCCCTGATAACGGACGGAGACCGCGTCGAAGCGGCCAAACTGGCGCTTCGCTATCAAACTGCCGCCCAATGAAAAGCCTCCCATCGGGCTCCGGCCACAGAGGTAGCGGGGATAGAGCGGCGACGATCTCAGTGCCCCGTCAATCATCCCGTGAGCGGAAGTTCGCTGACGGCGCGAATCCCGGCAAAGAAGGGGCGGGCGGTTTCCAGGGGCAACGCGAATCCCGGCAAAGGACGGGCGGGCGGTTTCCAGGGGCAACGCGAGGACGCGCCGGAGGCAAGATGGAGGAGGCGACGACGACGGAGGAGACCTTCTGCCTGCAGCGTATCCTTCCTTCGCTCTCTCCCTCCTCCGGCCGCCGCGGAGGGCTCGGGGGTGGTGGTGGGGCGGCATCGCCTCAGTGGGTTCGCAGAAGACCCGGGTCCCCGAATCGCGCTCCTCGGCCTGAGAAATCTGAGGAAACTCGAGAGGCGATTTCTAGTTGAAGGGATGAAACCTCCGCTGTGGGCGGCTCCATTGGGCGCCTCTGAGGCAGAGAGATCCTCAGCCTAATTAGACTGCGCTGTTTGTCTCTTGAGGCAATATGCTTCCCTAAGGTGGTAAAAGGGTAATTTTCCTTCAGGGAAAAGGGCGGCCTACAAATGTCAATAAAATCAAAAAAAATCAAAAAAAATATCCAAATATTATGTATATATGTATGTATATTATATTTGGATATTACCCTTACCTTTCTTTTATTTAATTTACATACATACATACATACATACATGTATTTTGTGCTGATAAATAATTGGGGGATACCAATTGTGACACACACACACACACACACACACAAACACACACACACACACATATCTATATATATGAATGATATTTGGATATTACCCTTCATATATATGTATGTATGTATGTATGTCAGTGACGTGCGGTGACGGTTACCGTTGGTGAGGCAAGACTGCAGCACCGGCGAGAAGCAACGTCCCCGGCACTGTGTCCAACAGGCGTCTCGCATTTATGGCGGACATCTCCCTATACTGTTTAGGGAGAAGAAGGATTGGACCCTTTGTCTATGCGTTGACTTTCATGGGCTTAATTAAAACGTTTACCCTTCTCCCTTATGAAAGACAGGCTGCCCCATTTGGCCAAAGGAAAGGTCTTCACCAAGTTGGATTTGCAGGAGGCCTTGTATCGAGGGGGGGTCAAAGCAGGGGATGAGTGGGAAAATGCTTTCAATCGCCCTTAGGACGCTCCCAGTTCCAGGTTCTCCCTTTTGGACGGCAAGGAGCCCCTGCCGTGTTTATGCTGCTGATGAAAAGTGCTGCATGAATCCCTGCACAAGGATGACACGTTGGATGACATTTTAATCTGTACTGAGACAATGGCAGAACATGTAAGAGTGGTCAGAGCTGTACTCAAGAAGCTTTGAGTGACCAAACTTTAGGCCAAGCTGTCCAAATGCAAATTCCACCAGAGTAAAATCAGCTGTCTGGACTACCATATCGCCCATAAAAGAAAAGATTTGGATAAAGCCAGGGAAGCATACATGTACCAGGCTGATAAAAAGAGCACCAAGACAAAGGATTTTAAGGTGGGAGACAAGGTCTTATCTTTCTACCAAATTCCTACAATCTAGACAACCGTCAAAAAAATTGTGGCCGAAATACATTGGACCTTTCCCATTCAAGAGAATGATTAACCCAGGAACTGTAGAATTTGAGCGGCCAAAATGCTCAGACGTTTACACCCGGGATTGCATTGTAGTCTATTGAAACCAGAAATCACATCTTCCCTGTGTCCCAAATCGCAATCACCTCCTGACCCCACTGTGATCAAGGGAGAGCAGAACTTTGAAGTCAAAGATATTTGGGATTCTCACATACATTGGGGGAAAACTCAATATTTGGTAGCCTGGAAAGACTTTTCCCCCTCAGAAACTGAATGGGTCGATTGCCAACATATTAAAGCCCCGAAACTGCTTAAAAATTCCATGATTGATACCCAGATAAGCCACATTGAACTGTTTGCTAATCGAGAAATTGTGTTTNGGGAGGGTGGAAACTCCTCCCACACACAGGGATGTGTGTTTCGCGTGTGCATGCACAGGTGGTGGGTTGCACGTGAGTGTGCAGGTGGGGGTATGCGCACGCAACAATAGTGTGCACACATAATTTTGGCACACCTTTAGAAAAAGATTAGCCATCACTGACTTAGTCTAATACATTTTGCAGGATTTTCCAAACTGCAATGCATATTCCTGATTCTTCTTAGTGATCCATCAGCATACCAAAATATCTCCTTTATCAAAGTGTATAGTTCTAGAATTCAATACAATTCAGTAAAAAAAAATAGCCGGTTTGGTCTAGTGGCATAACAGTGGTTATGGCACTGTGCTAGAAAGCAGGAGGCTTGTGAGTTTCTGGCCATGAAATCCAGCTTGGTGGCCTTGGGCCAGTCGCTGTCTCTTATCCCACCCCACAGGTTTGTTGTTCTGGAGAAAATAGGATGGAGAAGTATTGCTCTAGTTTGCCTCCTGGAATTATATGTAAAAATAAAGATGGGATGCCAACAAGCAATACAAGCATCTTGGCAATCTTCTGTGCAACAGGAAGCCATGGACAATAAATATGTATTGTTCCAAAATATGTATTGGTCTTTACTTCCAATAAAATTACAGCGTGTCTATTTTTTTCTTTTATAACCTGCTACAGTATGCATTCTGTAGATATTTGATTGATCCCTCCTATCCATGTTATTTCTTTTGACCTCTCAAAAATAATGACAGGTAGCAGTAGTTTCATTGTACTCGGTGTGTTAAGTTAAGGCGTGGAGTTCTGTTTTTTGAGGTAATTCCACTTACCGTGAGAAATGTAGTTCTGATTTATAGTAACCACTATTTAAAGTAACCACAATGAAGAAAAAGAGTTGGGGGTGTTCTATGGATTCCTGTTCGTGGTCTATGTACTCTTTATAACCAAGGAGAGTTGGGGGGAAAAACCCTAAAGTTCAATTGCTTAATTTCAGGTATGAATTGATGCAGAGAGGTGTGCTTGAACCTAAAGATGTTGGATTTGTTCCAGATGCCTATACTTGCAATCAGCATTTGGAGAGAGAAAATATATATTTGAAGAAAGAAATGGAGAACTATAAATTTGCAGCTAAGTATGTTCTTCTTCTTGTTATTGGGTTACATTTTTTAGAGATTTGGATGACAAAAAATCTGGACATCAGAAGGTGTAGAAGGTGATCAGTTCTGAATGGCAGTATTGATGTTTGCAAGTCTGGTAAGGAACGGGTCAAATAGCTGTTAATCCTTCAGTATCCAGGATAATTTATTTCTGTAATGCTGCTCAATTAAAAAGGCTCTGAGTGGCTTTCAATAATGTCAAAGTGAACTACTGTAGGTAGAATTAAAAGAAAAAAATAAACCTTAATCCCCAAAACAACAATTGCCTAATTCAGGGAGGGAACATGCCATGCACTGACCTCTCCAGGGACTCCTGGAGCACCAGCTCTCTCTTAGCAGCTTTCCTGCCTGTCAGAAGGGTTGGTGCTGGCATGGCCCCAGGTGGAGTGGCCACTGTGAAAAGGTCGATGCCCTTTTTCTTCTTCACGACAACAGCCTCAAAGAGTATCTTCCCTTCTCCTTTTTATTGGTTGACCAGAACCTACTGGGAGAAGCTACTTGTAATATTTATTACATTATTTATACCCTTTAAGGGGACATGGTGGCTCAGTGGCTAAGACACTGACCTTGTCGATCAGAAAGGTCAACAGTTTGGCAGTGTGAATCCCTAGCACTGTGTAAGCTCCCGTGACTTGTCCCAGCTTCTGCCAACCTAGCAGTTCGAAAGCACTTAAAAATGCAAGTAGAAAAATAGGAACCA